TTGACGAAGAAGAAGAAGGCGAAGACGAAGACGAAGACGAAGAGGAGAGGCAAGGAAGGCGGCCGGCCAGTCAGCAACAACCAACGGCAGTCTGCACTGATCGGCACCTGAACAGGTCACTGGACGGCAATGCGCCATCATCACTGTATCAGCTCGGTGCTATTGCTGCTGTTGCTCTGTATCAACGGTTTAGCAGTTATAGTAGTAAATGGTCAAAATATCCAGTTCGATGAAAACTGTCCGCCGACATGTCGTTGCAGTAGGTTCGAAATCTCGTGTACAGAATCACGACAAAATGGTTCGGATATATTCATACCGATGAGACCAGAAAAATTTCCACAACTAGACAGTGTTACTGTTACTGGCACTTATATTGGTGATATATCGAAGCAAAATTTATTCGGTATTGAAGTGGTTCATCGTAATTTAACGTTATTGAACATATCACATAGCGGTATTGTTGCATTTGACGAAGAAACATTCCAAGGTTTACCGGCGTTGCAGTGGTTCTGTCTTAACGATAATTCCATTGAACGAATTGGAAAGGATCCATTTCGGTGAGTGTAATTTACGTTCAATGACAAAATGGAAAAAAAAAAAGGACAAGGAAAAAACTGAAGGAAAAAGTACATATATCAATAACAGATAACTAAGAGACGAAGAGGAGCGAAAAAAAAGATCAGGGACTATTTTCTGTGTTTAAAAAGCTGCACTACACGGGTTTTTTGTTTCACTTTTTTTCATTATATTTTTTTATGTTATCAAAATTTTTTCTTGCTGTTCACTATTTTTTTCAGTGGTTTGCTGTTGTTTTGTTCAAATACAGAAAAAAAGTTGTTTTGATGAACAGCCTTTTCATTTTTTTCTTTGCTTTGAAACTACATTATTAGCATGTTACTTTGAACTTATTCCAGTTTTTTTTCCTTACTACTTCTAATACTCCCGTTGCTGGTATTGCTGTCGATGCTGTAACAGCAAAAAATAGCACTAATCCCGTTGAAACTGTTCGCTTTTTCGCCATTATTCATTTTTTTGTTTTTTTTTTTTTTTTTTTTTTTTTTTT